ATGTCAATCTGACAGTATTGTGGGCTCCGTTGGTCGGTTTCGTCCATCATTTTCCGTAATTCGACAATGACAGCGTCGGCTCGCAGTAACTGTGTGTTAACTGCTTTCACCCATTCGAGGTCGGGTTTGGCTGGTGGGGCAGGAGGGGGAAGTCGGACTGAATCGAAATTCGGTTTCCGAGCCGTCTGGATCTTTGTGATCCTAGACGACCAACCTTCAGCCATGGCGTCTGTTGCCACGCTGGTCGACTTCTCTTCTTCGTCCCGTTGCTTTTCCTCCTCGTACTCGTTCACCCTGGTTTCCAACCATGATGTAGTGCGGATCAGGTGTTGCTGAGCTCTGGTAGTCTGTGGGGCGTCCGGATGACAAAGTCGTCGTATAAACCGAGCGTTGTTTCCCCATGCCAGAATGTCTCGGTCCAGGTCATTTGCTTCCTGGCTGTTGTCGACACAAAAGATCCGGCGGGCTCTCATCTCTGTGATGAGTTCCGCTACTCGAGCCAACAATTTGACTATATGTGGCGCGACCGTGCTCGGCAACTCGTCAGTGTCCGGTATGGCTTCCATGATCCGAGCTTCTGTAGCTGGAGACATGGGCCGGTCGGCCATTTCCATCGGTTTCGGTTGAGTCAAGCCTGCCGTCGAAGTCGGTTGGAGTTGGATCCGGTCTGTTGTCGAGGTCGGTTGACTCGAAGTGTTCGATTGTTGCGAACCACGTTTTTCTCGGCGTATTCTTTCCGCCATCGAATCGCGTCGGAGCATGTCGATCTCTGCTTCTATATCCTGGACGTGCATCTGGGAAATCTTAAGTTGATCTCCGATTGCTGTCCGTATGTTACGGATGGTCGGATCTGTTCCGTCCATACTGTCGACTTGCCTTTGTAAGTCGGCGGCAATCTTTTGTGCGCGAGCCAGCTTGTGGTCAAGTATTTTCTTCTGGTCTGCCAATGTGGGCTCGGGTGGTTGTTGCGAAGCAGTCGGTTGCGGCTGAGTGGAGGTCGGCTGAACCCTTTGTGGGTTAGCCTCGAGGATTTTCCACAAATCTTCGACCCGCCTTGAGCAGATACTGTACTGCTGATCCAAGGCATCACGCATCTGTTTCTCCATAGCGTTATTGGGGTCGAGCTCCCGGAGTTGTTTTCCGAGCTTCTCCATGACTTCGACCGCCTCTCGGTACTGGTCTTCAACTTCACCGATGTCGACTTCCTTTTGTTCAACTGCCTCGGTGAATGGGAGTTCGACGTCGAGTCCAACTGATGGGACTGGAGAAGGTGTTCTCTCCCGAGCTGGTACTGGTACTCCCGCTTTGTTCGGGTTAGCCAAGTACTGTTTGACATAGTCGATCACCGACTGAAGTGCTTCGATTAGCCGGTCTTGGTTCGGGCCTGGCGGTGGAATTTCCCATGAGCCTAGAGTATCGGCCCAATCCAACTCGAGTCGTAATGCTCGGTCGATCCGGGTGAGGTCGGTTTCCTCTTGTTCCGTTAAGGTTCCACTAAGTCGGTGGAAGAAAATATCGGCTAAGTCCTGCCCAGCTTGAGTGATTATGTCCATGTTAGCGATTGGGTTTTCCATCGGTGTCGTGCCGACTAAAGTCATCACCGCTGTCGTAGTCGGTGCTGCTCGGAGAGGTGGCGACGGAGTCGGAACCCGTTTAGCGTATGCCGGTTCCGCGTCGAGGATCTCTGTGATCCGTTCGACTACCGACCTGAGTTGCCGTTCATCGGCTTCGGTTGGTTCGTCTTTGCCGATGAGGATGTCCGCCTTTTTCAGGTAGGCCATCAGGTCGTTCATCTTCTGTCTCGCCACTTTAAGGGTTTCGGGATCGGACGGTGTCTCGTTGACAAAGGATCGCTGGAGGTGTTCCAGTAGATTCCACCCGTCGGTTATTATTCCAGCCATCTTTTCCCTGCGGCTTTTCCGCATTACCGAGTGCATCTCCGCCGCCGATGAGGTCGACGGTAACGCATCGGAAGTCTCCGTGTCGGAGTCGGGTAGTCGATGCTGCTTTCGGCTGTAGTCCCGCAGCCGGTTGATGGCGTCCATCGTGAGTTGAAAATGGGCTTCCGGTTCGATTGTACCTGGTTGTATCAGGTTTCTCACTAGTTGTATGTGAGTATCGAACCCGGAAGCTATTTTCTGCGTGTTCGGTTCATTTCCCTTCGCCGCGCGTCGCCTGATTCGTTTCAGTGTGCGCTCCGCCTCTTTGATGGCGCCTTTGGCGTAGAGGATCGTCCTGTCGGGTGTGGTATTCGACGTTACGGCCTGTGTGGTCGTCGTCGATGATGCGGGTAAAAGGCTTCGATGCTCCTCGTTGAGCTTGGATAGTAACGCGACTCCTGGCTCTAGTAGGCGTTGATGTGCCATCGTCTGTGGCGTCCCGCTTTGGATTAGACTTTCGACGAGCTCTATGTAAGCTGTGAAGTCTTCGATCTTCTGTAAGGCATAGCGTTCCAGACCTTGTTGCGAGCGTTCGCGTATCTTCTCCAGGATTTGCTTTGCTTCTCGTAAGGCTCTCCTGGCGTCGGTGATTGTCTTCTCACCGTTCGTGGCTGGCGTCGCTAGTGCCTGCATCGTCTGTGGAGACCGTGGTGTTGCGGTCAGCTGAATCATCTGTTGCTCGACATGGATTATTTTGTCGAGTTCCTTATGGCGGTTGTACACTTGTTTGTACTGGTTCAGCAAGATTTGGAAGTCTTGAGGATGGTCGGCTCCACTTGTTGGGAGGTTCTGCATCCGTTCCTTGATCGCGTTCGACTGGTTAATCACCTCGTCCCAATTCCGTTTCAGTGTTTCGAGCGTCCGAAGTCGTGCCGGGTCGAACACTGTATTCGGCGGGTGTGCTCCGCTGTCGACCTGTGTGGTCGGCGGTGGAGGCGATGATATCGGTGAAGTCCTAATGGCTCCCGGTTGTAACGCCGTCGGTTGGACGTTATCCGTCTGTGAGGTCGGAGATTTTTCCATTAAGACAGCCGTCTTCACCTGGTCCATGGCTGTTCGGAGTCGGTGTTTGTCCACCTCTGTGGTGGGCAAACCGTACCGAGTAAGATCTTCAGTTAGCCCTATGTGAGCTATGAGATCGTTAATTTTCCGAACGGGATCTACATCAGTGAGGCTCTGAATTCCATTGGCCATTCGTCCATAGATGGCTTGGAGGGCTTCTTTGCCGTCGAGGATGGTTTTCCAGACTTCTGTCGTCTGGTCATCCTGTCCAATCTGAAGTGCCATTGCATGGTACCTGAGCTGGGGGACCTGTTGTTCGGTTCCACCCGTCTGGCTCTGGGTTATCTGTTGAATCCGTCGGTAATGCATGTTCAGTCGGACGGCCTGGTCGTCTGTCGTTATACCCTCTCGTTGTTCGAGTAATTGGCGGGCGATGCGCAAGCTTCGGTGGAGGTCGTTAACTATCTGAGCTCTGTTGGCGATAGCTGGTAAATCTCCACCTTGCGTCATCCTTATGCCGTCGAGGATTCGATTTCCGACCTCGATGGCGGCCCGTACGTCCGTTATTTGAGGCATTGGTACGGCTGACGACCTCGGTTCCGCTGCTTCCAAGTTTTGGGTCAAGTGATGATGCCGGTCGATTCGGTTTTGTGCGTTCTGCATCCTTGTTCGGATGACGGTCAGTTCTGCCGCAGTTGCTGGCAGTCCGGTAGTCAAGTATGACTGAAATCCTGCCATGTAGTCACGAATGACTTTCCCGTTGTGTTTGAGGGCCTGCCATTCAGGAGTTCCGGCTTGTGTATCTTCCATAACCGCGCCCATTCGTTGCACGACTATTCCAGCCATTCGTAAAAATGCCCGTAGCTCCTGCAGTGTTGGGAGCGGCAATACAGGTAGTCCTTGTGGGACTTGCTGTATCGGGTTCGGCTGGAAGGCCGGTACCATTATTGGTGGTGCATCCCAGCCTACATTCACCGCTATCCTTTGTTGCGGTCCGCTTGTTGGGACGACTACTGGTTGAGTCGTTGTCGGCTGGAGTGCTCGGATTTCATTCTCCTTCTCCGTGAACTTCTTTGTCCATTGGTCGAGCAGGTCGATATTGCTAAGGATGGTAATATCCAATATCCAAAAGTGTATCCAGAGCTTAAATATCCAAATATCATATCCATATCTCGAGCTGTCTCGAAAGATACGGATATTTTTGGATATTTGGTGGATGCGGTGGATACAAAGATACAGCAACATATTGACGGATATAAGACAGATCCTTTTTATATAAACATATTTTTTCCAGCGAAGGCATTTAAAAGTTGCTATACATGCTGCGACTTTTCTCAACAACGGATCAGCTTGACTGAATATTTTGAAAACGGATCACCCAATTATTCAAGTATGTTGAAGTACAAAATTTTAAGATCAACAAGTTTGCGTATACATCAATACCATCTGACGTTCTACTGGTGTCTCCGCAAAATAATCATAAATGTGCAAATCACCATGTTTGATCTCACACTGAAACAAAATTTTTGTATTAATAACTCGGGGCCGTCAACCTAAGGCTCGCATTGGAACTACGATTCGCATGTGTTTGTGGTAAGGCGGAAATGGCGGGCACGTCAAATAATTATTTCTTTTATTTTTTTACTATTGGATTATGTAGTACGTGGGTGATCCGTTGTTCAAAATGTACAGTTAACCTAACCGGCTAACCTTGATGTCGAGAATAGTCGAAGTATGTGTGTATTTCTTGTTTCCTTCTAATCGACCGGAGCGCAGCGAAGGTCCTCTAATTCAGCAGAAATATAAAAAATGTCTGTCTGTCTGTTTGTTACGGAAGTGACCGGATGACGTCATCCATGCTATCCAGAATGACGTCACAATACAATGACAATATGTATGATATGGGTACCGTACAGTAGGTTTCCTTCTAAATAGGAATACAAAATAACACCTACATATTTTCATCTACATGTTGTTACTTTGCGTTATTGTTCATACGTGTGTCTCCAAGTTACTATAAGAGCATATAAGAGCATAGGAACTTACTATAAGAGCATCCAAATACTCTGTATTCTGTAAAGTAAATCATTGTTGTGGTTTTCTCTGCGATGAAGCGCAAGGTTCGCTATTCAAAACGACAGCAGAAAAGAAAGAAAAACAATGAAGTCCAAGGTAGGTATATCTTTTCTCATTTTAGACGTATATATGTGCATGTTCACATAAACATTCCAGCGCACATGTTGTAGAAAACTCTACCCAAGAAACCCCACAACCTGGCCCTTCTACTGATTCACCTAGAACACGAATGCAAAATTATCGCCAACGAGCTACATCAGAAAGTAACACTACTCGGCTGCACAAGGTCCAAACGCGAGCTGCAACACGTCGCGCTGAAGAAACTGCTTCCGAGCAATCGCGAAGGCGCCGAGAGGATCGGGAAAGGCGAGCAGAGAAACGAAATCAGGAAACTAATAGTGAAAGGTCACGTCGACGCGAAGGAGACAGACTTCGTCGAGCAGCCAAGAGGGATCAAGAAACCATTAGCGAACGAACCCGTAGACTTGCAGCTGACAGACTTCAACGAGCACTGTCTCGAACATCTAGAGCGGATAATATGCGACTATTTGCGCTAGAGAAGCGGATGACCGAAATAAAGTGGAATTCTTGCGTTGTGTGTAATGAAGGTTGGCCCGGACTAAAAGTGGACGCACAGAGCAGGTGTTCTCACTGCAAAAAGGGAAACTCAAAGTTTTCGGACAGCAATAATATGGACCCTGGAGATGTACCGCCCGAACTTATGTACTTGACGCCGTTAGAAGAACAGCTGATTGCTCGCGTTCATCCAGTGCTGTCCGTTTATAAAGTTGGAAGGGGGCAACAATTGGCTTATTCTGGTAACGTTATTAATTTTCGTCAAGATGTAACGTCATTTGCAAAATCGTTGCCTCATAGCCCAGCCAAACTTCTTTCTGTTCTCGTGGTCAATCGATCGGATTTGGATAATTATGCAACATTTAATGTATCTGCAACGAGAGTGCGACGTGCATTGAATTATCTTAAAAGACATAATCCGTGGTATCGAGATGTTGTTATCGACGAAGCAGCATTGTCGCAGTTACCGAACAATGGAAATGTCCATTCTATTTTGCCAACAGTAACCATTTCCACACTGCCACCACTGGCAGGAGATGACGACAGACTGCACGACACAGGAGTTCCCATGGTTCAGCACGTTAAGCAGTCTGATCAAATTCGGGATTCAGTAGGACTTGAACCGCACACAGTTCCGTACCCAGAAATGTCTACCGATCCCGTTGATGAATTCACTACTGCAGGATACATTGCTGGAGCGTTTCCTCGACTTTTTCCATCCGGGAAAGCAGACTTGCGGGATTTGCGGAAACGTACAAAAAAGGTCACGGAGTCTGAATATTTTAAACACCTTATGAGATACAAAGACAGGCGTTTTGCTTCTCATCCAACATTCCGCTTTTTTGCACTCAACAGCCTAATGCGATGGCAAGCGATGCGAGTTGGTCAAGTGTTCGTTCGTAAACATGTTTTTGGAGCGGTTACTGTGGCTGAACTGCGACACCGACTGGAAGTATCACCAGGACTAATCAAACAGATTACGAGTTTCGGCTCCAGTCTTCGCGGTACACGGTCTTATTGGATTAAGAGGAGTGGAGAGCTGTCAGATATGGTAACGGATGTCGGAATGCCTACGCTATTTTTCACGTTATCGGCAGCGGATCTGTACTGGCCGGAGTTGTTAACTCTTATGGCGCCGGAGACCGACCTGGTGAACCTGACCTCTGCAGATTCGTACAAAGAGAGAAATAAATTGCTGCAAGACAACCCAGCAATAGCAGACTGGTTTTTTACCGAAAGAGCGCAATTTTTTATCCACGATGTACTTGGGCCACACCTCAAAATAGAAGATTATTGGTACAGGTATGAGTTTCAGCACAGAGGAAGTGTCCATCTACACGGCCTGTTATGGTTAACGGGTGCACCAGACACAGCTAAGCTGAACCAAATGTCTCCTGCTGAACGGCAGAAAGTAGTGGATTATTTTGACCAGCTAGTGACATGTGTCAGTCCTGATTTACACTGCATTCCATCCAACGTACATCCTTCCTTTCAGAAGCTTTCTGAGATAACAGATGAACGCAAGGATTACGCCAGTCTTGTCAATCGGCTACAACGACACACAGAATGCAAGAAAGGAGCGTGTATTCAGAAAAAGAACGGTGTGGAACAATGCCGCTATGGATTTCCTAAAGAAATTCGGGATGACTCGTTACTAGATAAAAGCAAAGAAAAATGGGCATTGGAACTGAAGCGAAATGACCCCAGAGTCAATCGCCACAATGAATTCAGCCTGAAGATTTGGAGAGCAAACGTTGATTTTTCCCCTATTGTAGATCGCTATGCAGTACTTAATTATGTAGCTAAATATGCCTCCAAATCAGAACCACGTTCGTCGACATATGCAGAGATTTTGCACCATATTATCCGTGAAGAAGTGACGGATGCAGATCTCGGTAAGAAGGCAATCCAAAAGCTTCTTATGAAGTCGATTTCGGAGAGAGATTACTCGGCCCAAGAATGCTGTCACTTACTGCTCGGGCATGACTTGTATCAATGCTCTCGGCCATTCGTCACCATCGTATTGAAGTCCGATGAATGGATCCCGGTTGCGGATATAGAACACGAAGAAGGTGGGGCGAGTAGCGAGAATAAAACTATTTTGCAAAAGTATTCAGCACGCCATACCTCTCTTGAAAATGTCCCTCTTTTGGAAATCGCCAAACGATATACGTGGATTCGGAACGGATGGAGGAAGCGTATACGAGGAAAACAAGCAGTTGTGCGGTTATTTCCTAAACTTCAGCTAACCGACGAAGCCCCAACGAGAGAAGAATTTTACCGACAGCAAGTATTATTACAAGTTCCATGGCGTGATGTTACCACAGTAGCCGACGGGCGCTCTTGGGAAGAATTATACGAAGAACATCAGTTATTTCCACAAGTTAACGTGAAAGATGCAGATAACGAACAATTGAACGAAGACAGTGAAGACGATGCAGATATTAATGAGCAAGTAACTGAACAGGAAGAGTACATGGTCCTCCAGGGATATGGCCCTAGATCAAATGTACCAAACATTGAGCTGGGAACTCGACAAATTGACCGTGAAACGGACTGGACAGCCGCATACGCTCTGTATGACCATATTGGTGAAATTTGTTCTTTTCTGGATACAAAGAAACAGGAAGCCGACACTGTCGATGCCCCTGCCGCCGTTCCTAACTTTCAACTCTCCGAAGAGCAGCGGAACGCGCTCGACTACTTTCAGCAGCAGATAGCCAGCCAGGTTGATGACCGATGCTGTATCGTGCAAGGAAAAGCAGGTAGCGGTAAATCGGTTCTACTGTCGTCTATGCAGTCCCTATTACGCGATACTCCACATTACGGAAATAATTGTTACCTCCTACTCGGACCAACAGGAGTTGCAGCTGATAACATCAACGGTTCGACTATTCACTCTAAGCTAAGAATTCCGGTTAACCGCACATTCCGTGATTTAGAAGGGGATGAACTCCACAGATTTCAGGAAGAGCTGGACGACATTAAAGTAATTTTAATTGACGAATTCAGTCTTATCGGATGTACATTGCTAGGGAAGGTTGACAAACGATTAAGGCAAGCAAAGCCGGATAAGAGTCATCTTCCCTTCGGCGGTCTCATAGTCTACCTTTTCGGCGATATCAAACAGCTACCTCCCGTGCTAGATCGCCCACTTTACGGCGATGGTTACAAGAGCGAATTGGCTGACCATGGGCAGCTGATATACAGAACCGCATTCACCAAAGCGTTTGTCTTTACGACCTCCCAACGACAACGCGGAAACGATCCCGAGCAGCAGCATTTCAGGGACGCATTGGACAGACTGAGTGTTGGAGAGTCAACAGTAGAGGACTACGAGAAAATGATCTCACGGAATTATGGTCTTCTTCCCGATGAAGAACGGGATTCATTTAAGACTGCTATTCGGTTGTTTACTGAACGCGAGCCAGCGCGCGAATATAATATCAAGGCTTTGACGGATCTGCGGATGCCAGTTGCAAAGATCAAAGCGAAACATAATAATCAGACAGCCGCCAGAGGTAAGAAAGTACCATATTACAACACGACTCTTACGTGTTCTGAAAAATTTAACTTTTTATCAGGAAATGACCAGCAGGCAATGGGCCTAGAGTCGGCACTTTATTTGTCCCGCGGCTCAAGGGTTATGCTTAAAAGAAACTTGTGGACGGATAAGGGACTCGTAAATGGATCCTTGGGATTTGTGCGTGAAATTATTTATGCGCCTGGAACATCTCCAGACGACGCGATGCCGTTGGCTGTCCTTGTCGAATTCGACAAGTACAAAGGGCCAACGTTTGCCAATAACTGTGTCCCTATCTGTCCGCAAACTTCCGAGTGGATTGAAAACGGACAAAAGTGCGTGCGGACCCAGTTTCCCTTAGCCCTCTCGTGGGCGATAACTGTCCATAAGGCCCAGGGGATTACCTGTGACCGCGCTGTTGTCCATCTTGGACCCCGCGAATTTGCCTCCGGACTGATCTACGTTGCCCTGTCCCGAGTCAAGTCTTGGAAGGGTTTGGCTTTAGAGCCTACATTTCCCTTCTCATTGCTCACTAGCATTAAAACTAAAAAAACCACTATTCAACGTATAAAAGAAGAACAACGGCTGAACCGTTTGAAATGACCAACAATGCGTACCACTGATCTATATTAACCTATAATGAATACTGGTTTTTACATTAATTCGTGCCGGTTGCTTGTGAGATTAAAATAAAATTACTACGACTAAACAAAAATTTTATTTCTCACTCCAAGCTGCGCTCCGGTCTACCAATGCACGAAGAAGTGCATTTTCCTAGTATCTAAATCTGGCGTTGATCGTTAGTGTGTTGTGTGATGCTTTTATTTTAGTATTTAAGCCTTTTTAAGGCTTTTTCATAAAAAAAACATGTTATTGGATATATCTGGATAGAAAACGATATATCCCAGATATTTCTGGATATATCCGGATACGTTTTGGATATATCCCATATCCAGGGGCTTTCTCTTGGATATTACCATCCTTAGATATTGCTCTTGACGGTTTGGGAATAGTGTTCCTTAGTCGGGTCGAGAGTGGCCAGGCGCTTCTTCACTTCGTCTATTTCGTGAAGGTATTCGCTGCGTTGTTGCGCTAAGGCGTCTAGCCGAGCCAGTCGGATTTCCTCATCGATCACCGCCTGTGTGGCCGGTGCCGAGACTCCGGATGAGCGCAAGATTTGTTCTTCCGCTCGTATCCGTCTTTCCGTTTCGGCGGCTACGTCGGTGAGGTGCGATTCTTCTCGACCTATCCTTCCCAATTCAGCGGTATAGTTGTCCGCTGTACGGGGAACTCTTGTGTAGCTCATTCTGAGCTTCACCGCCTCTTTCATCGCATCCTCCTTCCGGATACGGAGTTTTCCGATCTCCAACGACGGTGTTCGGCCAGGCACTTGTTGGCCTGCCGAAGTCGACGGAGCCAGTTGGGACTTCGGTGAGACAACCTGTGTGGTTATCTGTGGAGGTCCGGGGTCAGGATCTCCCAATCGTTGAGCCACATGTCGAGCTACCGCTTGTTGGCAAATTCGGAGAGACTGTTGTTCCCTCTCGTAGAGCGTCTTGTTGGCATCATTCAAGCGTGCTTCGTTTAGGGAAAGTTGACCTAGTAACGCCGCTCGGTATTCGGCGTGACTCGGGTCCATCTGTGAAGTCTGCGTCAGTGCTTGGTTAATCGTGTCTATGTGAACACGAGCCAGCTTTGCTTGTTGGCGCAGTTCTTCGTCCGTCCTTCCGTTGGTGTTAATTTCTTAGACGACCACGAGAGGTGGAGGCATCGACGTTACGACCTGTGTGGCCATCGTCGAGACAGGCACTTGTTGGCTCTGTCCTCCGACCAGACTTCTGTGCTGATTCAGCCGATTTAGTAAGTGGGCCGTCGCGTTCGGATCCATCCAGGAACTTTGTTGTCCGAATGGTCGGAGATGAGTCGGCGAAGTCGGTTGCGTGAGCAATATTGGCCTTGGTGGCGAGATTGTGCCATCCGGGTTGACCATGCTAATGGTTGCGATTTGTGGCGGTGGCATTCCAGACGTTGGCTGGATTGATGCGAATCGCATTGCTGGTGGGCTGTATGGGAAACTACTCGGCGCCAATGTGGGCGTCGTATAGATCGGACCAGCCGTGTTAGCCATTCCTGGTACCATTGTGGGTACCATGTAAATCGTTGCTGGCGTGTTCGCCATCCCTGGCACCATTGTCGGTGTCGGGTAAACTGCTCCGGTCATCATTGTTGATGCCGAGCTGGTCGGTCCGACTATTGTTGTCGGTGCCGACCACTGATACGGTGGCATTTGACCATGTGGGTCTGCTGCCGTTGCCGGAGTCGTCTGACTCGTTCCAGTGCCGAGATTCCACAGGCAGCCTGTGTTATCGACTGCTGTGATCGGCGGCAAAACCTGCGGTGGTATCGCTCCACGTTGGGGCCCGACCGTAAGACCTGCTAACACATTAGCTGTTAAGTTAGCACTAGGATTATCTACCTGCGGTAAAGGCGTCTGCGTGGCCGACCGCGAATTATCCGATCGCGATGTCGAGCGATGACTCGGATAAGGCTGGGATCGGTTCGATCCGCCGCCGCTGCGTCCGCTGTTCGATCCGCTGGAAGGTGGGTCGTGTCGGTGACGACCTGACATTGTTGCCTGCTGTCAAGGAAAGGAAATACGGCGCGTTAGAATTCTACCAACTCCCGTACATTCAACTGAAGATGTTCCGGTCAACTGAAGAGGTTCCATTTCGACACCAAAGGTCCATCTATGCCTAGGTATTGTTAGGCTACCTAAAACTTATTCTAAGTTTTACATCTATGGCCCTATGACTGAGTCTGTTCTGTTGTGACTGCTGTTTTGGGTGTCTTAGGTTTTGCTGTTTTGACTGGTTTCTCCGAGTCTGCCCGTCCTTCGGTAATTCGTTCGAGGATTTCCCTATGGGCTTCATCTTCAGCGACTTCTGTTTCTTCCAGCATCTGTTGTGCCGTCAGCTTCGGTTTCCTAGCTGTTCCGTACTTCCGTTTTGGCTTAGTCGGTTCGACTGCCTGGTCGGCTGCTACGACTTCCGTGGTCGGTGCCGATGTACTAGGTAGATCGACCTTCCGCTTGGTGTACTTGCGCTTTGGCTTGGTCGGTTGGACTGCCGAGTCGGTTACAGCGACCTCTGTGGTCGGTGCCGACGAGTCGGTTTTCTTCACCGTTCTCTTCTTCCGAGCTGGCTTTGTTGCCGACTTCGGTTCCTCTGTTGGTTGGTTGGTTGGCTGGACTGGACTGGCGTTTCCGACTTGTCGTCCGACTTCTTCGGCTGCTCGGTGGTCGGCTGAGCTTTGTGCTCGTCGACTTCCTCCGAGGTCGGTGCTGGGTCAGCTGCTATCACATCTTGCTTCTGCAGTTCTGTCAATGCAGGTGTCTCGAAGTCGGTCGGAGGTTTCTTCCGAGGTCGACCTCGCTTGTTCTTCACCTTCGGTTCGGTTTTATCCGCGTCGTTGGTCGGATCCGAAGGTTTCTCCACGGTTTCGTCGGATTTCTTCTTCGGTTTCCGAGTAGCTTTCCCTTCTGTCGGGTCGGCTACCGGGCCAGTTGACCGAGTTGCTGGTCGACTTGTCTCGACTCGGCAATGTTTAACTCGGTCGACGGCTACCGTATCTTCGCGTCCGTCTTCGCATCGGAGGAGTAAGTTGTTTGGGCCAACGTAGTTGATGACCGTCCAAACTCCATCGTAGCGTTCCTTCCGAGTTGGATCCTTTGTCGGAAATTCCACGGTTACCTTATCCCTCGGTTTGAAGGTCGGATTCGACTTCTTCTTGTTATAATGCTCGGCATTCCGTTCGAATGCTTCATCAATGTTGATGCGAGCAATCTCGTGCGAGCGTTGAAGTCGTTCTTTTATCCGTCGGATATAATGTTCCTTGTCCGTAAAGGTTTCCGGTGTATTCGTTCCGGCCACTATGTCCTGTGGCATGGTCATCTCTCGACCATACAACATGTAGAATGGTGAGAACTTAGTCGCGGCATGAACGGCTCGGTTCATTCCGCAGACGACATAATCCAAGGCTCTGTGCCATCGGTGTCCGTCCTTTACATCGCAGAACTTCCTTATCCCGTCCCAAATTGTTTGCATTTGCCGTTCGACTTGTCCTTGTCCTTCCGGATGATGGGCAGTTCCAAGCGTATGTTGGATGCCGAAGATCCGTGCGACCTTAGCGAACGTCTTCGCTGTGAAGTGTGTCCCTCTGTCCGAGTGGATGAAGGTCGGCATTCCGTACTTCAGTAGGACGTCCTTGACGAAGAACCTTTCGAATTCTCTCGCGGTGTTCGTCTTTGTTGCCCGGGCTATGGTGAACTTCGTCAGCTGGTCGGTTACCACTGCGATGTACTGGTATCCCTTCGTCTCCGTCCGAGGAAGAGGACCCTTGAAGTCCGCATAGATGCGATACCAGGCTTCACCAACTTCCATCTTTTGGAGTTTACCGGGTGGTGGGCGTCGTTGTTTGTTCGTCATGATGCACTGTCGGCATTTCTCAATGTAGGAGATGGCGTCACTGTTCATGCGTGGCCAATAGTAACGTAGCTTCAGCGCCTCGATCGTCTTCTCCCGTCCGAAATGGTTTCCGGTTTTTCCGTCATGGAGCGATCGGATGATTTGGTTGCGCATGAAAAGTGGTACGACGAAGCACCGTTCCAACTTTGTGTTGATGGTCTTCAGTCTGTACAATACTCCTTGCGCCATCTGGTAATGTTCCAGATGTTGCGACTTGTGGTCAAGGTTCTCTGGGTGTTCCAGTTCGTCAATAATTTTGCGTAGTTGTGGGTCTCGCAACTGCGCTTTCCGAAGTTCCACGTTCGGTTCGGGTGGAGGTGGGAGTGTTTTTTCGACTTCCAACTTTTCGTCTTCCGCCGTGTTGACGGTTTGAACTGTCGGTTCCGGTGTCTCCGGTGCTGGGATGTTAATGACTCGGACTTCTGCCGTGCTCAAGTCGTCCCAGTCGGTTATGACATTGCATCCGGGGAGAACCGGTGGAAGGGGGATTTTCGGTGGTTCCTTTAGATCCTTCTTCCTTTTCTTTGAGGCATTTGCCTTCAGACGTCTGAGAGTCCGTATTGTACAGACCTTGATTTCGTCCTTGAAGTCCTCGAAGTTGGGGACTTGGTCTAACTCTTCGTGTGGATCTTTGTCGTCACTACGTTCGAGTGGCCATCTCGACAGGGCGTCCGCATTGTCGCAGAAAACTCCCGGCTTATACTCGATGGTTATGTCCCGTCCTTGTAAAGCCAGTGCCCATCTCGTTAGTCGAGGGTTGATGCCGGGTCGGTTCGACTCGCATCGGAGCAGGTTCTGCAGTGCTCGATGATCCGTTCTTACGGTGAATGGTCCGTGGTCGATGAAGTGCTTAAATTTCTGCACCGCCCATACCACGGCCAAGCATTCCCATTCGGTAACTCCGTAGTTGAGTTCCGGTCCACGTAGGACTCGACTGGCGTAGGCGATTGGATGATCGTCTTGTGAGATCACCGCGCCAAGTCCGGCTCCGCTTGCGTCACATTCGATGACGGACTTCTTAGTCGGGTCGAACTTCGCCAGTACAGGTGCTTCCGTCAGCGCCTTCTTGATATCGTTGAACTCAGCCGTGTGGGCTTCCGTCCAATCGAGCTTTATGTTCTTATCCTTTCGGAGGAGCTCGTACATTTTTGAGGTTTTCTGAGCGTATCCTCGGATAAATTTCCGATAGTAGTTGGCCAGTCCG